CTCGGCGGGGATACGCCCACCTAAGGGATGGTGACAGCTCCCGCAGGTGAAGGTAAGCGGTGCCTCGCGTGACCCTGTCCTGTCGTAGGGGCTTGCGAGAGGTACGGTTGGCGCACTCGGCCGGAGCGGCAAACGCTCTCCGCGACAAGTCCTGCAAAATCCTGCGTGACGCGGCCGAGAGGGTCCCCGTGCAGGACCGAACCGCTCGACACCGTTTCTCGCTACGTCTACTTGCCCTCACTCCTCGCCGGCGTTAAAGCATACATCCGCTCATACCCCACTTGTCAAGAAGTCAACCCCTCAAACCAGCGCAAGCCTAGCAAGCTCCAGTCATTGTTTCTCTATGGATTTCGTGTGCGGTCTCCCCAAGACCGACCGCGGCTATGACTGCATCTACGTCATTGTCTGCCGCGTGACCAAGTGGGACCATTTAATCCCTTGCACCACTTCCCACAATGCCAAAGACGTCGCCACACTCTTCTTAGATCATGTCACACGCCATCACGGTCTCCCCGAAAACATCATCAGTGATTGTGATCCTCGCTTCCTTTCCCAATTCTGGAAAAATATATTTAAAGCCTAGGACACCACTCTCAAGTACAACATTGTATTCCATCCCCAGACCGATGGCCAGACCGAAAAGATGAACGATACTCTTCAAAGGATCCTGCGAAAGTATTGTCATCCATACCAGCATGGCTGGGACCAGTTGCTCACCTCCGCCGAGATTGCTTACAACAACGCTGTCTGCCCTTCCACTGGCATGGTACCATACTACCTTGACCTTGGCTACCATCAGACTTCTTGCTCCCCTCGCAGCTCAACCCATCCACTCCCCGTCGTTCTCTCAATGAATGGGTTGCAACAATGAGCTGCCTCCTCAGATAAGCCACTGATGCCCTTGAAAGAACCCAATAACAACAAGCCAACAAGACCAACAAGCACATATGAGATACCACATTCAAAGTAGGGGACAAAGTCTGGCTCTCCGCCAAACGCTTTGAACCCGAACACGGCTTGTCCAAGAAATGCTCAAACAAGTGGCTCAGTCCATTCCTCGTCATTGAACAAACATCCCCTGTTAATTACGAACTTCAACTACCCCCTAACATGAGCCGTGTTCACATTGTCTTCCATGTCGAGTACTTGAAAGAATACCATGAATCACCTCCACAATTCACCAACCGCCCATATCCTAGACCCCCACCAATCATGCTACCTACCGGGCCAGAATTCGTGGTAGAATCTATCACAGGACGCAGAACAACTCAAGTATCTGAGCACCGGGAACCAATCACTGAATACAAAGTCAAATGGACCGGATACCCATATGAAGAATCTACATGGGAACCCCTCGATAATCTCAAGAACGTCGTGAAACTTGTTTGTGCCTATGATCGTGCTCACCCTGTATCCTAGCTATAAACTACGTATAACACCCATATACCCTGCATAAACCCTGCCTCATTGCTCTACACACACCCCCTGCACCCAGCAAAACCCCTGCCCCTCAACCTCTCTTCTTGCCTCCATCTCGTCCCCCAATCTGTCCTCTGTCACATCCTCTGTCTTTCTTGTCCAAGCCTTTCATGTGGCTCCTGCTCATCGCCAGAATAAAGGATCTAATGACAAGCGCACGAGGACGATGGCCTGCTGCAGCACAGTTCGAGGAGATTAAGCAGCTGGTTGGCCACCATGCTGTCCCATTGGCTGGCACCTAGACTCGCAGACTTCTGGGGCAGCACTCTTGACATGGACATCAGGATCAGTCTGCGACCTGCTATCCAGATCAGACTTCATCACCAGGATCGTGGACAGGACGCACCCTGGCACTTGGACCTTAATCTAATGGACTGCTACACTACTTCTTTAAAGCTGGAACCCTCGCTACTACACATCGCAAGCCCACTGAAGACTGGTTTATCAGCAGCATTTTGTACCTGGACTTGCTTCAAGACCTGCTTCAAGACTCTCAGCCAGACCATTTTGCAGAACCTGCGATTTTCCCCCCAGCCCCAGTCACTCCAAGATCCTCAGAAACCCCAACCCCCGAACACTCCAAAATAATTTTCCTTTCTTAATTTTTGCTCACAGAACCCTTTCGCCCAGTAGTTCATCAGTACGACAACCCTGTACCCCCCATCAGTAGGACAACCCTGTTCCCCTGCAGTTCCTAACCCTGTAGTTCATAGCAGGCAAACTCTGTTCCCTCTCAACAGTCCATCAGTACGCCTAACCCGTAGCTCATCAGTAGGAAAACCCTGTTTCCCCCAGCCCTTGTTACCCACATTATACCCGTCTCCCTTTTTCCTGCTTCCCAGTGATCGGCCCCGTCCCGTCCTTCACAGGATTCAGCATTATTTTCATGACTTTTGGCAGCCGGGACGTTGCCTTCTAGAGGGAGGGGATAGTGTTACAGAGTCCGCCAGGGCTCGATCCCTGGTCTGCGGGTTACCAACCGCCAGCTTGCTGTACTCATTTCTCTTTTTTGTTTTTACAATTTTCTTGTTTTATTTTGTTTTTGCTCTTCTGATTTCAGACGGTGCCATCTGCATTCTGGCCGCCATTTTCAAAATCCTTCTTTTGGGACTTTCGGATTTCGGACACTCGGCGCCATCCGACATTCTGGCGGCCACTCTCAGATTTTCGACTTTCAGTACTGGCCCTGAGGCATTTTCACTTTCGCCCTCAGGACCTTACCTGAGTCTGGTACTTATGTCCAGACTCGATCCCAGTATGGGAACCAAGTTTTCAGCCTCAGTGCTTGTGTTCAGTGTGACTTTGCTTTGACATTGTGTTCGGGAATTCAAGACTGCGACTTTGCGACTTTGCCACTTTGTGTCTGCGTCCGTCGAGTTGTGCCAAGTCTGCGTCGAGTTGAGTGAGCGTGTGTATGCTCTCACTCTCCCTCTCTCTCCCAGCCTCGCTGCTCTGACTCTACCTCATCACATTCCCACTCTATTGAGGTTCTCACTGCTTCCACCCACTCCACCCACCATTCTTCCTGCTTTTGCTAAGTCGAGGACCCTTATCCAACTCCACCAACCGATCCACACATTCTTGTCCCGTACGCTGATATGTGATATAGCTCTCTTTCAAACACTTACCTAACTCCTCTCGTAACTGTTGTAGCCACACGCGAATCAATTCGAACAATCCTTCCTCTGGCAGCTGATCGACCCGTTCCTCCATCTGGTGGCCTATAAGCTTCTGATATCCCTGAGTTTCTAGGAGGCATCCTGGAGACGTTTTCCCACTTGTTGTCATTTGCTTCCAAGGAGTTGTCATTAGGATGCTGTGGCACAGCGAAACAACAGTTTTCTAGGAACAGTTGTCTCTCTCCTCATGGCCTTCCAACTTCAATCCTACACTGTGTCATCGCCCGTACGTCGTACGGGGGGTCTCCGTACGGCCCGTACGTACGTACGGACGTACGCCCGTACGGGCGTACGGACAACGGCCGTACGAAGGTGTTTTAGGGGCAAAACAAAAAAAAAAAAAAAAAAAAAGGGGTTGTAGATCTCGAAAAGGATTTTTAAAAAATCAAAAAAAAAAAACGAGACAAAAAAGGGAAAAAAAAACCTTTGGTAGCAAAAAAAA